ATCTCAATTTTAAACTTTTATAAAGAAACAGATTCTGACAAACTCGGCTTTCGATATTTCCGAAATTGTCAGAAAAATATCCTTCTAAGTATTTTCCCCGCAACAAATATAATAAAAAGATAGATAAACTATAAAGAAAGACGGAAAAAAAAGTATAATGGGGCGTTCATCTGCAAAGTATATTTAAAAAATAATTGTCAGAATCAAAACCATGAAAGATAACTCAAATCGACGTATGATAGGTATGGGATACGTGTATGTCTGTGAAAATAAAGGCGGGAATCTGGAAAACCAATTGATGAATAAAAATGCAAGATTTCTATAATTTTTCGTCATGATAAAATTATTTTATATGAACGAAAATTCCAGTGTGTGATTTTAATAATCTTGGAATACTTTGTTTAAACTTGAGCGACGTATTTAATCAAATTCAATGGTTGGTAATAACCAGTCCCATTAGGTCCGTAGGTCGAGTTAGGTATGTCATTTTATTCGAAATCTCTAATAGGAAAATTGAAGGTTTTTTGTGGTACAATTCCTAGGTATAATAAGAAATAGACCTAATGGTTTTTGGAATAACCTGTGTTATATATTCAATTAAATAAATGCAGTCGACATATTTTTAGTGAAATTACATCCTCCATATAGCTTATTAAAATTATTTATCTATACTAGTTGAATATCTTTATATTATGTTAAACTGATGATATTTTGTGCTGAAACGTTTTATCTATGGAGTAATTTTGATATATTGTTTCGTCTTAAAGACTTTTGTGTAGTTTACTGTTTCTTTCAGATATTTGTTATGGAGGTACGTTTGAATCTTTTTTTACAAATGCATTCATTAAGAGTGGGATATGTCAAAAGCACCAATGTCTAAAACAAGATGCCCAGCATGTGTGTCAGGAGAATAATGCAACACACGTTAAACTTGATTCTCCTCAGAAGAACAAGGCAGTACAGATTTATCTTAGATCGAAAGGTCAGAATTAACTTGATATCAAATTTGATATTGTTTTATGCAGATAGATTGATAATGAAACCTATCGATGTCATTGAAATGGTAGATATAGAATTGTATAATCATGGTTTATAGACGAGTTGATTATTGCCAGCTGTCAAATGGTGCTGATGACTTTTCTTAACCCGTTTCTGCATAACCTGTTACTCGACATTAAATATCGGTTCAGAGGTCACAAAACATATAGGTTAGATAAAGTTGCGTGCTTGCAGTTTAATAATAAATGTGTCACGTGAAACACAAGTTGAATCACAGTCTTAGTAATTGCTCCTTGTGGCAACAGCTTTTAAAACTTATTCTCAAAAAAATAGATATACATGTTTATTTTTGTAAGAATTTTATTCTGTATTTATTGAAATATTTCAACTCCATGTTACCATCATTTAGAAATGGACTTATTACACACAGAGAGATTCACTTTGTTGATTTGTCACGCTAGTTTCAAATGTTTATATTTATACACAACATTTTAACTGGAACCTTTGCAGATGTACACGAGCTGCACATCAATTTTTATTTATATTACAATTTTGTTGACTGTAAGATTGCGGAATATGTTGTGGATATGGCAGTTGGCGTTAACATTCTCATATATTCACTGCTGGACATGTCTCACAAGTACATTAATTATGACTTAGTATAGTGAAATGGATAGCTTTTTTGTTTTTATTCATATTAGCTCGAGTGCAATTATAGTCGTTCATAAAGTTTTCATTTAATGAATAAACAATGTGTAGTAGTATATGTAATATACAAGAACCGTTCGTCATTAAACATAACTTATATGGATAATATGGGATCGATCGTCGGTCATAGTCGATTAATTGGTCGACTCGTTGTCTATTGCTGCGAACGGATGGATACGGTTTTAAAAGATATGGGTGAAGTCATACAATAGTTTTGAACAGTTCTATGGTTAAAATGGTATACATTTATTTGTCCAAGACAGGTCAGTTTATTGTACATTTTTATTTTCTGAGAGCAATCTGAATGTCGTTCATATAAATTGCCTATTTGAATAGTTACTAAAAAAAATGCTCATATTCATTGGTTGATTATTGAAACATACAATTTCATTATTGATTTTACAAGAAACAGCTTATACAGTTTCAATGCAATTAATGAGTGTAACATATTTGGATACTCATATTCAATAATTTCGAAAATTTATTATTCTCTCGTTTGATTATCGTTGGTATGCACCTTTAAAAATTATTTACTGTTGACTAATTACATCTTAATTTATTCAGTTCTATTCGAGCCTTTACTGTTTGGTACGTGCACATATCTACAATTTGAGTAAGAGACTAAACTCATTACAATTATTGAATACATTCGTAATATATCATCTCGGTATGTCATACATATACATATTGAAATGTTAATATTATATATTCTTTCTAATCGTTTACATGTTTACTGTAATCCCATGGAGGAGAAGTGTTTTACATTATTTAGATTTTGAATACGATGTAAGATATGGAACTATGAAACAGAGAAGTTGCATCAGGTTGTATACTATAGTTTTGTTCCACGTTCCTTAAAAAATTACTATACCATATGGGAACTACTTGCTAAACTTTTTCGGAATAAGCACGTCCTGTAGTCATATACTATTTGTAAGCATTTACCCTTAACGTTTATTAAGTTCTTATCATACTATGGCTTAGCCGGAATAACACTCTACAGCATATGTTCGGATCTTAGCTACTAGTTAATATTAACTCAATTTCACATAAACATTCTAATTATGTACAGCTCATTTTATACATATTTTGTTATCATTTACGGTTCATATACGCATGACATTTCACAATTATTTTTTTTTTATACTTTCCTCTTCATGTAAATATTCCGTCGCCTGCGGACTTTCTCACACACAACATTATTCTCCTCAAAACATCACAACTATAAAGACCGTTATAATACACAGACATAAGTAAATAATAATACTTCTGCAATGATGAGTGAGAAAAGATAAACACAGCTGCAGCATAACTATTCCCGAAGTCTACCTCAGTTCATTAAATAATATACCTAGAATCAATTCTCAACACCTGCAATTGACCTGATCAATTTAATTTTGTCTTGGACAATTACATTTGATTTTATGAATTTCATATTAACATTGATGTTTTTATTATTATGCTAGGTTCTTTAGGTGTTGCCTACTTCACTGCTGACGAATATTGCTTCCTAGTGCCTACTGGTGGCAGAATATTACAGTCGACGGCTTTTTGTAACCGTCATGACTATAAACCTAGATAAATATGTAAAAAGTCACTGCCATAGCAGCACTATTTCACTGTTTTTTATTACTACAGAGATAGACTCAAGAAGACACACATAACCACACCCTCTAAACAGCAGGCTAAAGGAGTTTTGTGTAAAATGAGTTTCGTGTTAAATTGGTATAATATATTCTCTTGGTCTTCGGGGTTAGCTTTGCTTGTTAATTAAATGTCGATATTGAAATTATGCAATGACCTTTCTACAATTCATGATGCATTTTATGATTCGTCATCTGGTGATGCTATGCAAATTCAAAAGGCTTTGTCATACCACAAAACTAATGTGCTAACTCAGTCTGAATGTATCTCTTCAAATTGATCAACTGGTAAACTATTCCAAAACAATGCTTAAGTGAAAGGTTATTAAATAGAGCAAAGCAAGTGTACGGGAATGAAAATCAGTTTTCCATTCATTTCAAGTGACTGTTTATTGGAAGAAAAAGCATAATGTTTTAAAACATATTTAATCTAAGGAATATGGGTTAAAAAAAATTTACTTGGATATGAAAACTTCTTTGATATAATGTGTTTTAGCTTTTGATTTTGCCATTTGATAAAGGACTTTATGTTTTGAATTTTCCTTGGAGTTCGGCATTTTTGCTATTATTTTTTTCTTTTATAGTGACATTCCATATTCAAATTAGTGTAATGCTTTATTCTGTAAAAACAAGTTATTATTTACTTGTAATTTGGATATTCTTTATGTGTAATGTACAGCAGAATAAATGAAATGTAATCTGTATGTCATATACAGCATTGATTGTGTCCCTTTAATATAATATTTTCAAGTTATTTTCAACATTTTCACAAATTTATGTTTTCCTTTAAGAACATATGGTAATAGTTAGATAGCCATAGAAATTTTTTTTACAACACATTACTTATAAAATATCATTAGGATGGAAGTCCAAAGATCTAAATAATACTTTTGTAACTAGTATTCCTTATAACTAGGCACTCACAATGACTAATTGCTTTTGTCATAAGAGATGTCAATCACATGATTCGTATTATAAGAATAATTTTTATTACACTGCATTAGCTGCTTCATACTAACAACTTTTAATCTAAGAAAAAAGCTCAGGCATTTAACCAGTTCATCATGTGTCGAAATGAATTCAAACTGCAATTTGGTAAAGCATTTTTTCAAATTGTTATTGTGAAAGGAAGAAGTCTTTTCAATATGTACAGTAATCAGATTGTAATTTTCTGGTAGCAGGTTATAAGTAGATTGTGGTTGGAATATTTTAATAATCCATGCCTTCTTAAAATACTGATATCCTTATATAGCTTTTAGAAGATACTTTATCAGTTAAATGCCTTTACATTTCAAGCTGTTTCTTTATAACATCACTGTTTATCAAGTACAAGTAGGGGACACCGTATATTTCTGGTGAGTATATCTATGAACATTAAAACATTCACCGACATAGAAAGCTAAACCACTCTTAATGTAAGAAAAAAAACAAAGTACCATCTGAACAAAACATTTTGTTGCTGAAATGGTTGCAAATTTACAATAATAGCTTTACTAGTGTTGATGAAAAACAAGACAGTTGAGCATGGTTAAACCAAATCAAAATCAAAAGACGAAGAGTAATCTAGTCTATTTTAGGCCTTGGGGTATATTCAAACTCTCAAAAGTTGATAAATCGCAAATTTATTAGAAAATTAATCTGATACGGCAAATCTAAAAATGATTCAAAGTTTAACAAGAAGATTGAATCTAGCTATCAGTTTTCCAACTGTCTTATATATGCTCCATATCAACGGAGGAGTGCTATAATCACACGTCACCATACACTTTTTTAAATAAATGCCCTACTTTCACAAATAGAGGAAATATTACTATCACAACGGAGGTCAAGCCATGCAAAAGATTGTTCGATTGTTCTAAAAAAATATTGTATACAATCGGCATTTCCTGTACCATCATTTGATGCATCGTCAGGCTGTCCTGGACCCCAATTTGTATACGTTATGTTCTGACCAGATATCCATTCGAATTGTCCTTCATTTAATACGTCACTCCCGCCAATCCACCATCGTTGCACTGACGTCATGTCTACAAGAAAAAAAAACTATTATGATAAAAAGCTAAAAAAATAGCATATTCTTCTTCGTTAAAAACCTTCTTTTTTATTTCAAAAAATGATTTAAAAACAAAAACAGTATTCTGTCATCATTTAAAGAATCAACTCTGATCGAACTATGTCTGCTCTTTTATTATAGGGCTATTGTGTATAAATATAATGAAATGAATTACTTTTGTAAAGGAAGATAATTCAATCTGTTAATTAGCATTACCGTATACTTTTGTCAAAAACAGCAGAAAATCAAGGTTACAATTCACAGGCTATTATACTCAGTATGAAACTTTGTTCATGTTTTTGTCCATTGGAAATAAATCGGTCTTTCAAAATGAACTTACCGTGTATTTTATTTAAATATAACAGGAACAGCTTGTCTTTGAATTTATTGTCTACTACAATTAGGTCACCAGCCTCGTCTTGACATCTTGTTCGCGAGTAAGACCAAGAAAATCTTTCCGTCGTGGTAATGTAGAACTTTAGACACACGTCTAATTCCCATGCATATTCGTAGCCATCATATAAACAAGTTTTAACCTCTGTAAATGAAATGAGTACATTTTCTTTCAAGTTATCTCAGTGTGTAGAATAGATTTTATTTACACTACAAATTTATTGACATCCAAACTCATAAGTCGAGGGAACATGACAACGCTATGGTCAACATTGAAAGGCGACAAAACGACAAGCAAGTTCACAAAACGCTACACAGAAATCGGAAGGCTGATTGATCCACACCAAAACTGATTGTTAGTAAACTTTATTATTTTTATTTTGCACTACTAACTTAGATGATTTGACTGTATTTCTACTTCATCAGTGAGAACAGTTTAATTTGATAAAATAAATTGCAATTGGATCAACATTTTGAGTGAAATGCAATATGTGGAGAGGAGCACTTATTAGAAAAATAATGTTTCAGTACCAACTATATTGTCACTTGTTAAAATCAATCGAAAACTTGTTTCATTGTAGAACAAGTGAACATGCTGTAGTTTCTAACTGACAACATGTTTGAATTGCCTGTTGATCAAATTTTTAATCAAATAATGGATTGAGCTCTTTTCTGTTAATTGATATATTTGTGCTTTTGTATAACACTGTTGAGATATCTACAAACCAAGATAGATCAACAATTCATTTGAATTTTTATATAAATAAAATTCGTAAACATAGACATCAATATACTCTCTTTGCCTGCATATTAAATATATATTTTGCTTAGATATATAAGAGCATGGTACTCAAATTTATCACACGCAATAGAAAAAACATACTGCAAGACTACTTAACAAATGATTTTAAGGGACTGTTCAGGCTTTTATTATGTCTCAGACTTTTCATATACATACTATTTCTAGATAGGTAAAATGAGAATTGGGTGGCAAGTAATTTGTATGGCAGTTGTTTATAGTAAAAATGGAACGAGACTAAGTAAGCATCTCCTGCTATGTATCACTCACCTCACAAATTCCACTCTCATTCAGAGGGGAATATGACACAATTGGTAAATTAACAGATCAGACTGCAAAAAATGATGTTAGCGAGTTGACCAACTCGTAATGGCGACCGTAATTATAAAAGTAAAATAACAAAAAATACCGAACTATGAGGAAATTTCAAAACGGAAACGCCCTAATCAAATGGCAAAATCTAGTTTTATAGCTAGCTAAACCTCTCACTTGCATGACAGTCGAATAAAATTCCATTATATTGACAAAAATGTAATGTAGATTTCAAATCAGGAGCACAACACCATTAATGAAGTCAGTATAGTGTGAATGTAACGTCTTAATTGAAATGTGTAAGTTGACAGTTTAAAAATTGATATCATCACGTTTGTAATACATGATACAGTTTGAACGCGTTTATTCGTGTCAATATCGAGGAAAAGATCAGGATATGCAGCAGACTTTCTAGTTCTTGTAGTATCCTTAATATCAAGTTCAAAGAGATGAAAGCACTCACTTAAATGTTGGTAATTTATTGACAGGACATCATCAATATATTTGAAAGTGAAATTTAAGAACTTGTAGGATGCCTTTTCTTTTTGTCTTTGAGAAGCTACTGTATGAATTCGCCTTCATGTCGATACCAAAAAACAATTTGACCACTAGAGGTGCACACTTAGTACCCATTTGAATACCGTCTGTCAATTCATCAAATATGTTTTCGATGAAGAGGTCCAGCATTTTGATCATATCATTTTCGGTGTATTAGCTTTCGAAGCCAGTCTTGTTCTTCACATAATACGATTTTTCATGACCTTAAACAAGGAATTTGTATCTTCGATTCCTACTTTTGTAGAAATAAACTGTTTGATGAGTCGATGCCTTTGGTTTTTCAATTGATCATCGGGAAAGTAGGGTAAAGCGTAAAATAGTCCAAAAATTTGATATTACTGCTAAATTGTAAAGATTGTTATTAAAAATCAAGACCGTTGTGTTCACGCCAGAAAAGTTACCACATATTTTTCTTGGTCGAGATATTTAGTTGCATCCTGGTCTGGGATAGTTTAGCTGGTATGTACATACCGATGTAATAGCTACATTTTCATTCCTTCAATTTTACACGTTCCAAAACCATACAAAGACCACAATTTATGAAAAACTTTGTAACGTTTCTCTTGTTCGCATTTATGGCATAATTTGCCATCAGAAGCAAATCGTTAATAACTAGAGGTCGAGTCAGGTTCATTTGGTATATTTCATATTTTTGAAATACCAAAATTACATGATGATGTAGTTTTTGTGACACGTTGAGAGAATTTTTTGGTAAGAATTTATTTTGATCCAAAACTCAAAACAGTGGATTATAAATTCCATCAATTGAGAAATTAGATTTTCAATATGTTACTTCCGGTCCTCTTGAGGCATAAATAATCTTTCACAGTTGCATAATAAAAGCGTACATTTAAAATTTCCAAAATAATTTGCAAATCTATATATAGAATAACATGACGAAAGTTTGCAAATCTAAAGCACACGATACAAAGAATTTACAAAAGTTAAAGTCATGTCAATTTCGTTCGGTTCAAAAGGAACCATTTTAAAAATATGTAAATCAGGTGACGCCTGCGTTGAGCTTGGATGCAACTTACGTGACACGTTGGGAGAATTTGTTTGTTTAATTTATTTTGATTTAAACTCGAAACCGGGATAATACATTCAAAACCTGAGACAATCGATTGAAGACAGTTGTTTATGTATACATGCTATTTCACACTTGCGTAATAAAAACGCAAGATTTGATTTTTTCAAAATCGTATATTTATTTATTTATTGTTATATAATTATATACGCCATATTATTTGAATATGTAATTCTAGTAGAAAAGACATTATCGAACTCTTTGAAGCTTTTTTGTTTTTTAATACATAATACTACGAGTTATAAAATCCTAGACTCTTTTAATACCTTGGACAACGTGTATTCTATCTTTTCTTTTTGTCTTTGGATAGGTTAGTGTCATTAGGTAAATGTGGGAAATATTGTATTCTACTGTAAGATTTTTTTCCTTGAAACGAAAAGGAAAAGGGAAATAAATCGTAACAAAATCTACTATATATTCGGGTTAAAATAAGCATTGTTCATAAAAGTAAAATAACAGAAATATCGAACTCCAAGGAAAATTCAAATCGGAAAGTCGCTTATCAAATAGCGAAATCAAAAGCGTAAACACATCAAACGAATGGAAAACAACTGTCATATTCCTGACTTGGTACAGGCATTTCCTTATGCAGAAAATGGTGAATCAAACCTGGTTTTATAGCTAGCTTAACCTCTTACTTGTATGACGGTCGCATTGAATTCCATTATATTGACAACAATGTGTGAACAAAACAAACAAACATAATACTGTAAACCGGGAAATTTTCGCGCTGTCTTTATTTCGCGATTTATTACCACAATCCAAATTCGCTCCGTTTTGAATTCGCGATTTCCATGTGACCTATATAAATATTTTCATAAATAATTAAGAAGGTGAACAGCTTTACATGTATCGTAAATCAAGTGATAAAATCAATCAGAATTTTTTTTTCTGTTCATTAATGTTAAAGGAGATTAAAAGTTGTGTCATGTTTGCTTGTAAAAACACATACACAATAAAAGAAAAGAAGACCTAATCAAATAATATGCTGTCAGGATTCATTCTAATTAATCGTTCGTTTGATCTGATTAATCTTTGTAGAAGTTTCAAGAGGTAGTACTTTTAAAACTGATTGACAGGTATCATTTACATATTTGTAACAAGTGTTGTTTACATAACAATATCCGTAATGTCCGTAATGTCCACTTGCTTGAGATGTCTTCCATGTTGATAAGATAAACTTGAGTAAAGTCATGATTTCTAACATTGTTTTTTATTTAGAAATACAGTTATGATTTTAGGTATAGATCTGTCGTCTGTAAAATCGGTATTATGCAGTGGTCTTCTACATATCCTATTCATATACGCACATGTATGGTTTTCATCTTATGAATAGAGTTTCCTTGAATTTTTCGAGGTCGTTTTATTTTCGCGTTTCAATTCTTACCGCGAAAATTTCCCTGTTTACAGTAGGTAAAAACGTCAAAAAATAGGGGTACAGCAGTCGTGTTATAATCTAATCACTATAAAGACAAACAAATATATCATCAAAGAAAAACGAAATGGTAAAAAGATTTTTTACGCACATAACAGTGTTCTATGATTCAAATCAGAATGACGCTTGATACATTGAACCGTTGCCATTCACATACCAAACCGATCCTCATGACCAATATGACTTTCACAACTTTGGCTTTCACACTTGGGTACGCAGTACCATTTTACTGTTCTTTTCTTCGAGCTACGATTATGGGCTTCATTAGTCACTGAACTAATTCTAGCACAATTTTTTGGAATACTTATAACATTAATTTAAAGAATTGTTCAAGAAGAATATGAACTGAGCTGCTGTCAACAATATATTTAAGTGGGTATTAGTTTGAGAACTAGATTCAAACTAGATCAATTTAGGAATAAGTACCCTTAATGATCATCTGTACAAATATGAACTTATGGAAAACGCGCATTGTGTCCAGGTGACTGTATTGATAGGACTTACAACCATTTTATTTATTGCGTTCAATCACCAACTACCCTTCTACTAGGAATTAAAAAAACTTATTTTTCATGATTAACATATTTCACAGTTGTGAGATCTATACCGTAGCTACTACAGGAATATTTTGTTAGAAAGTAGTGACGAAATGACTGGTGATTCTGATTTTTAACTACAAATGTTTATAAATATATATATATACATAACTACTCTAAATGCGGAACCAAATTTTTGTTCTTCCCTAGTCGGGATTAAAACTCATATATAAAATTGAGAATGGAAATGGGGAATGTGTCAAAGAGACAACAACCCGACCACAGAACAGACAACAGCAGAAGGCCACCAACAGGTCTTCAATGCAGCGAGAAATTCCCGCACCCGGAGGCGTCCTTCAGCTGGCCCCTAAACAAATATATATACTAGTTCAGTGATAATGAACGCCATACTAAACTCCAAATTGTACACAAGAAACTAAAATTAAAAATAATACAAGACTGACAAAGGCTAGAGGCTCCTGACTTGGGACAGGCGCAAAAATGCGGCGGGGTTAAACATGTTTATGAGATCTCAACCCTCCCCCTATACCTCTAGCCAATGTAGAAAAGTTAACGCATAACAATACGCACATTAAAATTCAGTTCAAGAGAAGTCCGAGTCTGATGTCAGAAGATGTAACCAAAGAAAATAAACAAAATGACAATAATACATAAATAACAACAGACTACTAGCAGTTAACTGACATGCCAGCTCCAGACTTCAATTAAACTGATTGAAAGATTATGTCTTCATCATATATATTCTTTTGCGATAAGATATAGAAAATGTTTTACAATAATTATAGAATAACTAATCGAAGAATTCAAATATCGAAAAATATTCAACGAGTGACCGAACAACACATTAATTCACGAATGCGCGTAGCGCATGAGTTAATTATCAGTGTTGTTCGGTCACGAGTTGAATATTTTTCGATATTTGAATTCTTTGATTAGTTATTCTTTTTATTACATTGGCAAATTGCTTTTTTTAATGAAATTAATGTAGAAAATGTAAGGAACTATATCTTTTTTCTACGCATTCACAATTTGTTTTGATCCGACGTTATCCACGTCTTGACAACGCTTATTGTTGTATGACGTCAGAGAGTGAAATAACCACGTTTATTTCCCATGTGAAATTATCGGTTTTTATTTGACTGGGAAATCAATGTAATTCAGTGCTACCAATGTAATAATAAGTTTTAACACGCTTGTTAGTTGTGTTAGTCTAAGAGAAAAGGGGACTAATGTAAAGTTTACATATTCATGTATTGTCTTGTATATGTCGTCTTGTCCTATGTTGAAATAAGACAATTACAATTTAAATTGTGAATTTATAAATATGGCGCTCGACACAGTGCATGCATTGTTGTCACGATATCGCTGAAGCAGGGGTTCGAATCCTGCTGAGAAAGATACAAAAACATTTGCAACACATAGTTGCAGATTTAACATTGTTGGGCTTAATTTGAGACGAAGCATATATAAATTATGGTATTAGCCCTGTATAACCAAGGGTTATCGGATAGAGAACGTTTGTCTTAAGGTTTTAAATGTTATAATCAAATTAAATTTTGATATAACGGCATGGTAATTTCAGTATCACCTTTTACGACAGACAAATTATAGCTGATCTGAAAGGTATACCATCTTACTGCCACTTTACATCATGAAATGTGGTACAATTCTTAATAAAGCCAACAAGGAATGGGATATTACTCTACAAGCAAAAGTATATTTTAATGAAGTCTTTTTGATTGGGTGGTCTAGGGCGCTGGACAGAGTGCAGGTGGTGTTGCAAAGATGTCACAGAAATAGGAGTTCGATCCCGCTGAGGGACTAACAAAAATATGTTGTATATTTAAATGATGGTGTTAGTCCTATATAACCACGTGTTACCGATGGAGAACGTCTGTCCTAAAGTTGTCTTATGCTTAGAAGTATAATATAGATATAAATATTTGATGTGGCGGCATTGTAATTTACATTTTTGGGATATTATTACAATATCTTCGTATATTACCATCTTATAATAGTACTGTTGTTAAAGCGTTTAAACCCACTGTATTTTTATGCACCTGTCCTAAGTCAGGAGCCTGTTGTTCATTAGTTGTCGTTTGTTAGTTTGGTTCATAGGTGTTTCTCGTTTCTCGTTTTTCATTTAGATTAGACCGTCGGTTTTTTTCTGTTTGAATTGTTTTACACTAGTCATGTCGGGGCCCTTTATAACTTGCTGTTCGGTGTGAGCCAATGCTCAGTGTTGAAGGCCGTACTTTGACCTATAATTGTTAACATCGTCTAGAATAGGCGATATTGCGCATATAAGGAAAAAATATAAAAAATTGCGCAACAGTATTAGTAAAAGATGGTAATATACGAAGATGATGTTATAAAATCGTGTTGACAAAATTTCGGCTGAACAAATATAATCTGTCAATAATTTTAACAATACTGTCACTATTTTCACAAACCATGACAATTTTAAGTAAGTCCTTGACAATTTAGTTAAACTTACTATCAACCGAATGCGAAGAGTGTTTGTTTTTTTTTAAGAAAGGAACTTTTTGTTCACATTTACTAATGTTTGACCTTGATATACAAAAGAACTTTCTTAGAATATAGCTCTTGGTTTGAGGTTGTTCTTGTTTCACCGCTATTTCAAATTTACATCCACTCCGGTGTCTGAACGTGTTTAGTTTAAAAGAGGGATGAAAGATACCAGATGGACAGTCAAACTCAAAGATCGAAAAAAAAACTGACAACGCCATGGCCAAAAATAAAAAGACAAACAGACATAAATAATAGTACAGATGACACAACATAGAAAACTAAAGTCTAAGCAACACGAACCCCACCAAAAACTTGGGGTGATCTCAGGTGCTCCGGAAGGGTAAGCAGATCCTGCTCAATATGTGGCATCCGTCGTTAATGTGTTCAATTAGAATATTTATTTCAGACTGATTTTCATGTTGTTTTTTTTTTGGTCAAGCTACATTTCTATTGAAGGCATTTTGACGTGTAATGTTGCTGGTGTATATGATTATCATCTACTATCTGGTTTGGAATTAAATCACTTATTTCATACTATTTTTATTTAATGTTGTTTTAATACGGCAAAAGAGAGGCGAAAGATACCAGAGGGACATTCAGACTCATAAGTAGAAAATAAACTGACAACGCCAAGGCTAAAAAAGAAAAAGACAAACAGACAAACAATAGTACACAAATTAAAACACAACATAGAAAAACTAAAGACTAAGCAACACGAACCCCATCCAAAACTGGGGTGATCTTTCTGACACTTGCATTGGTACAACATTTGTCTTACTTTATCAAAAGTTGACTTAGATTACAGAAAACTGTTACTTTAACTGACTTGAAGTGTACATATTTGTATACTTCTTCATTTATCTATTGAGATTTACAATTGTGCATTTATTTATTACCTTTTGTTCTATAATAAATACCAGACAGCTCTGTATGAATTGAATAATTATCAGTCTGATTGTGAACCGTTGTGCATCGACTTGTTGACTGGTTGTAATAAATGGCATCACAGAACTCTTCAGAGTCACACACAAAAGCGCATTCTATCAGGCCTAGTGCAGTTATACTTTTGCCGATGCTTCCCTGTACAGGATTAACATCAAGTTCAGGAATGTTAACCATGAATTTTTCTGCTCTACCTGAAAACAGTAATGAAATCATTAAAGCCAATGTTTAGAGTATTTGTTTAAAGATTGGATAATATTTACCTACTTTGACGTTCTACTCCTGAGCTTAAGGAATCCTAATGGAAAATTAGTTGGAATGATTGTTCAGCCTTTTAATTCAAAAATATTTTATGCTTTTTTCTTAATTGGCCTTGTTGGTATGTATTATCTTTATAACACAAAAACAGCAACAAATGCATCATCATTTTTAGAATAGTTGTTCAAAGGTTGGAAAATAATTACTTGACTTTAGACTTTCTTATCCCGAGGTTAAGAAATTCACAATAGAAACTTACTTAAACTGATTATTCATCCTTTTAGAATTTAAAAAAAAAATTGAAGTTTTTCTTTGGTAGGCTCTGTATTTGATGATCATGATCCTTTTCTTGAAAGCCTGAATGATGGTAAATCCAAAGAACTGTAAATGAGATAATCAACATGTGATCGAAAAATGTCATTATAGGAGATGACCTAGGAATAAAGAAAAGTTAACGTATCTTACATTAATACATAATATCCTTAGAGTTATTGAAACTGATAATTTTATACAATGTCCAGTTCCATAGTTGTAATAAGTTAAACAGAAGATCATCTACAACAAAACACCAATATGAAATGTTAAGACCGGAACTATCGATTGATTGCTGATGTTTGCCAAATGACAAATACTAGATGCAAAATCAGTAAAACGTTATTTGACTAAAAGCCCAGGTAAAATCTTCGGATTGTTGGATCACAATTTCATTCATACGCCAGTGATTTTCGAAGAAAGCATAATATTTTCGATCTTATTAGAATTCTATTGTTCATCTCTTTGGGGAAAACAAAACAGAAAACAACACTGTATAAATTTTATTCGTCCGAAGCGCTTTTCTTATTTATCTTCATTAGGATCCCTAAAAGCCGAATATTTGAAAGCCAAGGATGTATAAGATCCAAACAAAGAAATTAGGTTTTAGTTGCAGTACATCAAAGGTGGTCGTTAACAAACTTGAACTAATCAATTCAAACATATGTCTAAATAATCCAACCGTTGAAAAGAATATATTGGTATGAATCTTTACAGGAATAACCAAACATTATATTTTTTAAATACAATTTTTGCGTATAATAGTCTAAATGAACACTGTAAAACGTCGGAACGCTTCAAAATACGATATAATGCCTATGTCCGCACAAACTGTCTTTAATGGCTCGAAATGTAAACTAAAAGCTAATTTAAAAATATGCTTCATTTAAATGGAAATGACATCGTCGATAAGTCGAAATTAAAGTCACAATAATAAGAATTTTTAGGCAAACGTCACTATCCCTTGAAATGAAAAAAATATGCCTTCTCTTTCGTCGCATCAGATTAATTAAAAAAAGTATGTTGTTAATCTTCTAAGGATTTTTAAGGGTTGTGCTGGTTTTATAGACTTGTAACAAAGTTTCCAGACGATGGCGATACCGTTGTCTTAAAAGACGTAACCAGATAAAATCTGCGTCTTTGAATTCAATTCGATCTAGATCAACTTGAGCGTTGCTTCCGACATTGGCTCTCTGTAGAATATTGTAAATTCTATCATTTACTTACGGAAGTGTTAAAATGGAGGTGTAAAAATGGATTGATATCGATAAATAATTATTAAATCAATAGAATAGAAGCAGACAAGCATTAATTTAGATCGCATTACGATGGTCGATTGGATATTCTGCGACCATATAGAGGAACTTGTAAACGGCTTTGATGCAGTGTCAAAACATTATACTACCTCTATATAAAACGTAAAATAATAAAAATACGGAACTGCAAGGAAAATTCAAAACGAAAAGTCCTTTATAAAATTGCAAAATTAGAAGCTCAAACACACCTAACGAATGGAAAACAACTGTCATATTCCTGACTTGGTACAGGCATATCCTTTTGTAGAAAAGGGTGGATTTAACCTGGTTTCATAGCTAGCAAAACCTCTCACTTGTATGACAGTCGCATTGGAATCCATTATATTGACAATAATGTGTGAGCAAAAACAAACAGACATAATAGGTAAAAACGTCATAAAATTGGGGTACAGCAGTCAACATTGTAATATAATCTTAATAATAAACTTAACAAATGCTTCGGACAAACGGTTTAAAAGCCGACGAATGAATAGTAAAGTGACGGTAATTTGATGTTGGTATCTTTTACTAAATTGTCTAAACGACTTGACTTTGATATTGTAGTTTGTGTTACCTTGCGTTATTGTCTGATCAAAGAACATTTTCATTCCTAATGACAACAATGGGTGTAATTTAAATGACTTATAAACTAAAGTTATCATACTAATATATTTACTCTGCTTAACATTTTAAGTCATTTTTCATTAATTTTATGACGTGAAATCCAAAGCCAAAGGATATAAACAAATAAAACTATCAAGTTGTTACATATTTTAGGATAATATTTATGTTTGTATTGATAAATAAAACTATTAAATTCGAATCAGCGTAAACATATATGCTCAAGTTATGAATAATTTCTCATTTTAAATACATTACGACATTTGTAAGTCTTTGGACTTTCAAATTAAAAATCAACGGCTTGAATCATATCAATTGGGTAAAATCTTACCAAATTAATCATTGTATAGTGCGTTCATGATATACGAAGAAAACAATATAAGTACATTTCCATGCACATTGATACATTTTAAAAAAGAACATTAGTCGCAAGACTGTGATTTCAAAAAAGGCGAAATCACTAATCTAAAATTGTGTGACATGCTTTAAATAGTAAACAAATAGAAATTTCCAAGAATATGTAAGGAATATTTTCAGTTACAACACAATTCCGTTGATAGTTGAATGTGATTGCAAAAGTGTGTATGTAAAAGAAAGAAGATACAATGGGGTAAACAGAAAAAAAAACATCAGTTGAAGAAAGACATACAACACCATAGCAACATCATTTATTAAAATGGATGATACACATGACATCAGCGATCTGGTGTTAAACAAACGTAACTCATTTTGTTTTAATATTTAATTATCCTTTTCTGTACATTTCTTGTTATAAGTAGGTAATAATTTTCTCCATTTCTGTTTTCCTTTTCAGATCAATCTTCATGAATTAAAAGAAGAAAACGTATGTATCGTCTAATCATTTGAATATTGTCATCGTTCCGTTATTCACGTTAAACCTCCTTATAACCCTCCAAATAACAAATATATTTAACAAAAATTACAAATTAATATTTACCTGTTGAAAGAATGAAAATGAGCAAGGTCTTCCAAGTTAACTCCATCATAATTTGTAACAAAACTGTCACTCTGTAACTTATATATCATCAGCTGATTTTAATCCTATACAAAGAAGTTTAAATTGCTCAACGTGTATGCTATCGGTTAAAACAGATTTAATTTATGTATGTATATGGATGGATTCCTTATTCCGTTCCAATATAATACATTGTAAACTGGTGGATTGGAATGTAAATTATACAAGTAATATAACAACAACAAATTACGTGAATGTTATATAAAAGAGGGGCGAAAGATACAAGAAGGACATTCAAACTCATAAATCGAAAATAAACTGACAACGCCATGGCTAAAAAAAAGAAAAAAAAACAAACAGACAGACAGACAAACAATAGTACACAAAACACAACATAGAAAACTAAAGAGTAAGCAACACGAACCCCAGCAAAAACTGGGGGTGATCACAGTTGCTCTGGAAGGGTAAGCAGATCCTGCTCCACATGTGGCACCCGTCGTGTTGCTCGTATTAGAACAAAACCCGATGTGCCGAAATTACTTAAACCTGGAAACGTCTTGACGTGTGTTTAACCAGATATGTTTCATTTTCTTTAGCAAATGTCCACAAAGCATCGATCAACATTAAATAGATTTATTAAATTATTAATGGAAAGTCTAAGAATTTCAGCAAATTGTTTGATGTACTCACTATTTTAGATTTTTTTAAATTATAAATGTCAATGAAAGCTTCCATTAAATCGGTGCCACTGCTGGTAGCAGTTATCTTGTGATTTTGATTTCTTACAACTTGGTCGGTGACACTGCTAGTAGATGCTTTCTTATAGTTTTGATTTACTGCAACAAGATGTAGATGTCTGACACTATTGAATGGAGTTATTTTATAATTATTGTTTACTACCACAAGATCGGAGCCACTGCTGGTAGAGGTTATCGTGTTATTGTGCTTTATTAACACTGTGTGCCACTGCAGGTACAGATTATCGTGAGATTTTTTTTCGCCATTACTTTGTCAGTGCCACTGCTGGTAGTGAGTTTGAAAGCATGAGCCCTTCATTTTCTTGTTTAATTAATTGGATCTAATTCTCATATATCAATAGACGATAGTTCAAGGGACAGAAGTTTTCAGCATCAAACCTACTCAGCTTCCTTCAATTCAGTTAATTATGTTATTTATAATGAAGATACTTCTCTCTGTTTGTTTACTTATTCAGTGGGTTGTTTGTTTGTTTTTTATCACAAAACAATGAAATAAGAATAGCGAAAAGTTGACTATTTATTTGCTGAACACTTCAGCAAAGGAGCAGTTTAAAATACTGTTGATGTGTTTGAGCTTTTGATTTTGCCATTTGATAAAGGACTTTCCGTTTTGAATTTTCCTTGGAGTTCGGTATTTTTGTTATTTTACTTTTTAATATCATTTTCTCCAGTAAGAGATCATGAAGGCCATTGCATCATTGTGTGGTTTGACTTATGTTTAGCCATTTTCCAGTTCCATTCTATTGGTCATATTCCACTTGTGTTATCTTTTATATAAGTACTCCTGACTTATGCGTGAAAATATGTCTTGCAAACTTACATATCATGAATCATTAATGAATAATGTTGAACAAATATTATCTTATTGAATCACTTTTAAAGCATCTCAATTGGGAAATAAAACGTACAGGCGTGTTTTGAAATAAGTAGCTGTTTTCAAACTGTTAGTTTAGTTTGTAA